TGTATTCTGCATGATGTGTAAATAATAACAAAATTCAAATGTTACCCAACATCCATTCCATTTCAAATTATCAGTCTTGTTCTTTGTAACCAGGAAATAAATATTCATTCATTCAAAGAACTGACATTGGACCCAACACTTGACGGAACGAACGGAAATTATTTGTTTTGTGGCTACAAGGGGAGACATTCTATAATGTGGTTGAAAACAAATGGAAATCGAATAACATTTGAGTTCATTTTTTAAATTACTTCTAGAATCTTTGGTGCGTGGCCCTCCCGACAAGGCATCTATGTATAATGAGTTAATATGAGTATAATATTAAGTGTTAAATATTGAGTTTGCACACACGTATGCATGAAGTGAAGAAAACGCTTTCAGAGTTGAGGTTTATATACAAAACAAAAGTTAGGATCTTCTTGGATCAATTACCATAGTTTGAAAACCTCGATAATAACTAGTCATGCCGTATTCGGTGAACGTAACAGAATGTTGATAACCAGTATTTTTGACCACCAGATGCTTCATTCATCTAAGGATTAAACTTTGAAACAACAACTTTGCACCAAAGATCGACAAAGTCCTCCAAGGTAACAAACGCGTTAAAATGAGCTGGCTGCAAGCGCACAGGTTATAGGCACCGCACAATTCACATATTACAAAACCTTACCATTGAGACTCAACAACTCTTAGCCCACTAAATTATTTTCACCCCCAGTGAAAGAGTGAATACTTTTCGCACTGATTTTGCATCTTCCATAAATTTGAGTGTTTCACCATATTTTGCCCTCATAATGTGCAAGTTCTTGATGGATTCATTTTTACAACCGTTTTGAAAATGATAGCTTCAATACAAACATCTGTTACTGAAGATTCTGGGATATAGACATAAAAGTATGTTGCTAGGCAATATGTTTCATTCCCAGCATTCCTAGAAACATATGTACTGAATTGATGTCATTCGTATCAAACACGTACTCAAACATATTACCGCTATGAAAACAAAACTGAAGAAACAGCTGAAAGGAATGCAGTTTGTGACAATGATGGGAATAAATAGATGGTGCGCGTACTCGGCCATATTGAGGTATTGAAAACTTAAGAAAAATCACTCGACCGCTTACTATGAATTCTCTACGCCACATCGAACGATACGTTGAATCTACTTTTTTCCGCTAGATGGTGATGCTGCTATTGCTGCTTTGACGAGTGAAAATAACATTTTGTGTACGCGGCACATTTGTAATAGTGGGTTCATTTCACTAGAAATTCGAAAAATCTGCGACAATTTCAAAATTGACAGATGTCATAATTGTACAATGTCGCCAGCTGAAACCATTTTTCTCGAGAGATCGGGAAGAATTTCTGAAACAAAAGCTCATCAGTAAGTACACCATCTTCTTATTTCCATCATTTTTGTGACTCCTTTCTGAATATGATGAGGTTTCTTCTGTTCAAATGATGAATTAATTATCCTGGGCTTCTTCAGATTTGAAAACGAGATATTCAGTAAAGATCAAACTGGGTTTGGCCCAACAAGGTCAGGAAAAGTTATAGCCGAAATTCCAAATGATGATAGTGTTTAGTGGTCATTGAAATAATAACAAAAAAAAATCACAGGAGTCTGGAAAATGAAAAATTTGTAGCAGGTTCAGGAAAAATGCTGTAACTATAGCTCAAAATTCAATACATTCACCCAAGGAATAGGGAATTTATGAGATTTGCTTTTGAGTGAGATTGGATTGTCAAGATTTTAAATTTTGTAACCATCCTGGAAATGAAGTAACATAAAATGTCAAATGATAAAATAAGGCAAGTAGCTGTGAATGCGTATCCAAGCAGACGGAAAAAGAAGGTGAAATTTCGAACTTTACTGTAAAATATCTCGATGAATAGTGATTTGTTCAAATTTTTATTATGAAATTCGTGTTTTTCAGACGAAAATACGTGATTAACAAAACAAAATAGGTTCCCATCGCATGCAAATTTACCCTCGCTTATTTCCAATGAACAGAAGCTAACTATGAGGAGGGCGATTAGGTTGAAATTCTCCTGAGCAATTGTTGAGTATACAGCATGTCTGTAAAAGTGGACAACAATTGGAAAACTTTTTTATTATTGATTTTAGGAAAGGAAGTAATTCTTCACTGAAAGTGTTCTGCAAGGCGAGAAATCGAAAATGCAATTATTAGATATCAACTTGTTTCTATCTCATACGAGGTATGTCCATCAACATCAACCTCGCAATATCGAAAATTGGAATTGAAAAAAGTTTAGAATTAAAAAAACTATGTTCAAATAGCTAATTCCATTTGTCTATGATGAAAATCAGGTTTTATTAATTTTAACAATTTCTTCAAGATTTTTTGACACACGACTGAAAAAATTGATATCTGATATTTGCATTCTCGGTGATAGACCTTGCAGAACTTTTCATGAAGAATGACTTTTTTCATAAGGATCGACTTTTAACTTGAATTAATGTTTCCATTTACTGCCAACTTTTTCCTAACTACAGCTCCAGCTAACTATACGAGGTGGAAAAAACTTCAAATATGAAAGTTGTAGGGTTTCATCAGTACTATCTTTTGGCACTCCTTAAATAAACGAATGTGAATCGCACAATGATGAAAAAGTCCAAATCAGTTTTTTAAATTTTCACGAATATATAGACTTTTCCAATGTTGCCTTAGGCCGTTTTCGACTAAATAATTATTGCTGTACTACTGAAATTTTAGCAATATCTTCATGATATACATTTTCCTATTTTTCTTCTATGGAGTAACCCATTTCAATTGAAAAACCAACAGATATGTCGAAAAATGCGTTTTGTTTCCATCTAGATGTTATTGGCAACTTTGTTTCTATGCTATATAAGAGAAATATGGCTTAAGAGAACATTAGCAAACTTTACAGGGTGTCCCTGAAAGGTCTGTACAAAATGATACCATTGACTTTTGAGACCAAAGTGAGATGATTGAACCAAACTTATCTCTATACCAAAAAGCTCCATTTAGCCGCTACAGGGCGTCGAAATTTTATTTTTTTCGTATATTATGACTATTATGCATACACAACATACCATACCATTTTGATTAACACACAGGAGGTTAGATAAATATTTGGAGTACTATTGATCGATAAATTGATAGAACTTCAATTCAACTGATGCATACCAGATACAGACACCGAATTATTTAATTATTGTAGGTTCATATTTGATTTTCGTAAGAAAGCATAAATCATATCAGTGATATTCATGTGGCACTCATTTCTCCACGAGTTCAAAAGGCAGGGTGTGGCATAAAAATACATTTGAATTCAATTCCAACGCCCTGTATCGGCTAAACGGAGCGTTTTATAGAGTTTAGTATGGTTCAATCATCTCAGGGTCTCAGGAGTCTATGGTATCATTTTGTACAGATCCTTTCAGGGACACCCTGTATATATTTGTGACCAGAAGAAAAACATATTTCACTACAACTTTCCCAGTTGTAGTAACTTCTATTCCAGAGAGCATCAATTATTGTATTTCAGAATAGTCAATTGACACTTTCTGAAATTCAATTGACGCTTTCTGAAATACAACTGGAGAAGGTGTAGTCAAACACATTCAAGGTGTTTCATTAAAAAAATATGATTTGGACTGTTTTTCGAAAGATAGTACAAATGAAATACTACAACTTTCATATTTTCATATCAAATTTCATATTTCCATATCAAGTTTTTTCCACCTCCTATAGTGATAGCTGTAGATAGGGGGTCAAAATAAATGAGGACACCCTGTATAGGGCTAGTTGTAATAATGTGAACTTCCCTTTATCTTTTTTGTTTTCCACTCATTGAAAAAAATTAAAGTGGATTTTACAATGTTTCCACCACTAGCTATAAAACCTACCATTATTTACTCCATTTCCAGGCGTAAATTGTGTTTTTAACTACCAAGGTAGTTTTCGTCATTTTATGAACCACTAGTCGATAAAGACATAGCCACCTCTGTTTTAATAAACCCGTTCTGATCAGAGATTCGCAGGAATGACACTGGAATCTAATAGGTATTTATAAATAAAGACGTGTCATATGTTGTCATGGTCATGGTTAAGTATTGAAAATATGGATCTATTGTCACTATCAATAGGTCCATATTTCGGTTTCATAGAACTAAATTGATTGAAATATATTGCTCCTGGTGAAAAAAATGTATTATAAACCTTGGTAGTAAAAAATATCATTACCACGGGACTTTATACCCCTCGGCTAAAGCCTCTGGATATAATTTTGGTCCCTGGGTAATAATGATATTCTTTACTACCTTGGTGTATACGTAACTATTTCATACCGATTTCACTCATATTGACAATGATGCAATATCTCTTCAAACATACGGGGTATACAGAGAAATATATCTTTTTTTCAAATGGAATGCGCCGTATATTTTGATAGATTTTAATGCCACAATTCATCCTGATTTCAAATATATTATATAAGAGATTCACCTTGATTCCGCTAATTCTTCTATAGGCCAAAAAAGATTTACCCATGCTGCTCTTTTCGAATATAAGAAATTACTAGATAATATGAAAAATTGCAGAAATACAATAAAATTCGAATACAAACTTAAAAGATTTATCATTTCTGATCGAAATAGACGATTTTTTCCCAACCTTCTAACTGGAAGTCACATTTTCAATAAATAAATAAATAAAAATATACATCAAAATATACAGCGCAGTTTATTAAAACAATATATATATCTCTGTATACCCTGTATATTTGAAGAGATATTGCAACTGCACTATGATTGGAACCTGTAGGAAAGATTATTATTGTATAAAATCAGTTGATGGGTGGAAAACAAAAACATCATCAATAAAACTAGTCCCGTACATACGTCTCGCCCTGTAAGGTTTCCTGATCTGCGAGGCGAACGGAGCTCGCCTCAGCCCTTAGCGCAGCAGCGGGGAGCGAGCGGGCATCGTCCAGATGGGCGGGGCCAAAGGTCACAGCTTCTCCTTGGCCGGCACCCAAATTTTCGGGCCCGATTGCTCCTCGATCACCTCCTTCACCTGGTTGTAGATGTCTTCGGGCGTGTCGCCTTGCACTACGGCTGGAAAATAAAAAACGTTTTTGTACGACCTATTTCAGAATGTTTACCTCCGCCACACCGCATCTATAGCTTTTTTTCACCATGTTGAATTCTCAACATTGACAAATAATCAAGACCAACTGGGAAAAATGATGTGATACTATTAGTTTAGTTACCTAACCTAGAGTTCCCAAATGTACTTGACACTGCTGTTTTGACATGTTTTGTATTATTAAAGTACGGACACTAGACAAGCAGTGACAATCAAACATAACCACAAACGATTTTGAAGCAAATTATATGTTTTGCCAGACAAGGACAAGAATATGTTTTTCGCTTAGATAAAGGATCCTCGCATCTTCCTTCCTCCACAAGTCCTGGGAAGAGTACTAGAGTACATCCATATATCTTTCTTTGTCTTTGATTTTTGTATGAGAGTTCATATCGTCTCCTCGAGTGGGTAAAAGGGTACGATATATTGATTAAACAATTATTTCTTCTCGAAATATTGAATGATAAGGCTGAAGGACCTCGATGGAGGTCGATATCAAGTTAGTATGAACATATATACCAACGAAATACATATACTATTCCTATGAAATGAGTCTCTTATATGTAGGTATATTATACGTATACATTCAGTTGAATTTTTTTTTTATCACAAAAGTTCAGAATGGGGTGAAAACTGATAAATTTCAACCAATGAAACATACTTTTATTTCGTATGGAACAATTTCACTTGTACAAGAGTGGTAATGAGTAATTAATAAATAAACAAATAATATGGCAACTATAACAGCTGATTTCAGTTAGGATAAATAATGAAGGTTCTACACGACATACGGAACTAGGTACGAATGGACTTCAGCGCTCGACTCACTATAGATCGCCGTTCACATTGCTAAAGGGGATTTTTGCATCTCATCTGCTACCATTAAATTTTGAATTCTGAGATGAATCATGCTCATATAAAGCAACATTTTTACTAATATTATTAAATTTGTTATTCAAATCTTCCATTCGGTTTTTCAAATGAAAAAGTTTTTCATAGTATTGTTCATCGAAACTATATGAATTTTGCTCAAAATTGCCTGGATATTTGCTTGTTCAATTTTCTTGTATCTCTCTGAAGATATTTGCTCATTTTGTTTCAAATCTCAAATAATTTTTAGGTAATAGTTCTGAATTTTGCTAACTCTGACTTTTGTATCTAAATCTTTTTGCTTTAACTTATTTTCCAACTCTCAATTTTTTTTTCTATTTGTTTCCTGAATTCCTCACTCTCTTCCACTCGTAAACCTTGGATTTTTCAATATTCCTGCTCTAAAAATTCGATTCTCAAGTCTTTTTCTTTCAAAATATGTTCGAAACGAATTTCATTATCTGCAAGTTTTTCGTTTCTTGTTGGTTCTAAATTGGAATAAGGTTCTTTTCGATGATCGCTCAGTTTATAAACTGTGGGTTCGGCTCTTTCTCTCAATACGATCCTATTCTTCAACATCAAATCTTCCGTTCTGAAGTGTACCTGATAAAAATGCGTTAAAAATGTTCTATATCCTACCAAGAAATTTGAATACCTCGTAAATTTTGTGGCCTGAACCTATATTCCATGCCGGCCGCATCATATTCTGTTCCCATTTTTGTAGAATTACGATATCTGATGGAAATTCGAATAGAGTGAATTGATTTCCCGTGTTCTCACAGTTGGAAACTGCACAAACTTGCATCTTTCTCCTAATTCTCTCAATTTGTCAAACCTATGAAATTTATATCTTCTACGTCTGTGTACTGTCAGTTCCCGCTTTTTCCATCAATTTATTTGTGGTTATATCTGATTGTCAGTGCTTGTCATAGTGTCCGTAGTCCGTACTCTAATATGGGTTGCGTGCAAGAACTGTCAGATGACCGACACTGGAGGCAAAATATTGAAACACAAACGTCACTTTACTTATTTGTTTACAAGTGATTGAAATAGTTTTTCACAATTATTTTGGCATAGGAATCGTATTATTCCGCTATTCATCAATTCGCTCATGCCATCACATTATGCTGTTGTGAAATGCACAAAAACTGCAGCGGAAGACGAAGTAATCCGGTTGGTACAATATGATTTAAAAGTAAGTACCTACTATAGTCACGCACATATACTTTTCATTTTTGAAATTTGGTAATTTCTCTGATTTCTCATCGGAATTCTTTCTGCGATAGAAGCTAATAGAAATACATCTGAAATTTCTAAAATAATGCCAGAAAATTGGATTCATGCAATCAATCGGGACGACTGGTCTGACATGCTGACGATCGTGTGTGTGTGTTGTAGACATTTTCAATCTATTAGCAGTATTAGCTAGTATTGCTGAAGTGACAGAAGGCAGAAGGAATTTTAATAAGGAATGACAACATTTCATAATGATAACTATGTGAGATTACTATTTACCTGAAAAATCATATTCTCTTGCTGCATTTTTTGTGCATTGTACAATAGCACAATGCGAAGGCATGCTCGAATTAATGAATAGCGCAAAAAACACGATTCGTATGCCAAAATATTGTGAAAAACTAGTTCAATCCTTTGATTCGTGACCAAGTAAAAAAGTGAGGGTGTGTTTCAATAATTCACAGAAGAATGAGGTTGTGTTTCAATATTTTGCCTCCAGGGTGGGTCATCGTGCACGCGACCTATACAAAAAAAAACTTCAAAACAGCAGTGTCAAGTACATTTAGGAACTCTAACCTAACCTGCTAAGTAAGATATTTTTCAAAGGACTGCAGCAGTTCAATAAATTACCAGAATTCATAAAAAACTCATTGTCACTGAATACAATCCGTATGAGGAAAGAAATATTATATTTATATGATTTAGGTCAGAATCAACAATTTTAACAAAGCATGGCTACGAAAATTAATAAGGATCGAAATGTTGTCATAGTGAGTAATTATAAAATTCAATGGAGGATGTTCAGTTCAAGATGCACATTCTTAGTAGCCTCCTGGTTAACATTATTATCATTATTATTCAGGCGTGTTGTGGAATCTGTTCGGCGCCTGGCAGGAAAATACGGAAACATCCTTACGAATGTTTATGTATTTGCACTATAAGTCGGTATAAATCTTAAGCTCCTGCGAAGTAAGAGCTATCATATCAACAATATTTCCATTCCCGATGCATATAGGTGGTTGAACCGCCCTCAACCCACTTTAGTTGCACACTGGATTGACACGTGACAGCTGCAGGTGACTGGCTCGTTTTAAATCGATTTTCTTGGCACACTTGAATAGATCACCTTGTGAACTATTGTTGTTTATTCATTCTGTTTCAAATATCATATCATCAATGTACCTACTGAATGAATATAAATGTTTCTTGTTATCCCATCCTATTCAGAAATAAAATATCCTTTTCTAGTGAATTAATACTTCCATAAAGACATTTACCTGTGAAGTGTTCTCCCTAGGCAACCAGATGACGTTCCAGTGACGTCTTTTTTACGTCACTTGAATGACCAAGGTGACGTCGCATTGACGTGATGATGACGTGAATAAGTCACAGCCCAATGACGTCATATTACTCACGTCGTATTGACGTCATTCACTCACCAAACTGTGACATCCTACTGACGTCAAAATTACGATTTAATTTGTCGATGATACGTAAAAATGATTCCTTTAACATGGTGTGATAAACACCACTAGCCTCTGATGACATTATATAATATTGATTATGCATTGTTGAGTCTGCTTGGAGGGTCCCTCCTGTGTCATGTTCATTCAATCGCCTATTCAGCAGCGCCATCCTGCAGTACACATCTCCATCAGATTGCAATCAGTTACTCGTATTTGTATCAAAAAGTATGTAGTTTGTGTCGGCGAGATGTAAGCAAACAAAGAATAGTTTGATAGCAATGGAAAGAATGTTGGCGAATTTGGCTCAACTTTGTTGAATATTGATGCATTCTTTGTCACCCAACAAAAATCTAAATAGCAAATTATAGGAAAATTTCCTAAATGACGAAGCTCACCAAATTGGTACGTCACACCGACGTGATTTTTAGACGTCATAAATACGTCAATGCAACGTCCTAAGAGTAACGGTTTCAATATAGGTATACCTAAACAATCATTTTTATATAAACATAGCTTGTTGGTTTCCGAGATATACAGTGTGTCAATGTTTTTTAGAAAAAAGTTTTTCTACTACTTTTCGGGTATATTAATAATTAGAATAAAACTTGCATGTTGATTTGCTTCCATGAGTCATACTTCTGTTTCACATGATAATATATAAGTATCCATGGTTTAGAGAAGGTCTGGGAAAAATGGACGTCGACAGGACGTCCCTGCATCGTCATGAAACTGACGTCTTCTTTTACCCATCTAAGTGACGTTCACTCGACGTCGAAACGATGACGTGATTGTCACGTCATAGAAAGTACGTCATAGTGACGTCATAACACACACTATTGTTGTTTATTCAGTCTATTTCAAATATCATATCATCGATGTACCTACTGAATATAAATGTTTCTTGTTATACCATCCTATTCAGGAATAAAATATCCTTTTCTAGTGAATTAATACTTCCATAAAGACACTTACCTGTGAAGTATTCTCCGAACTCTTGTTCCATCTTGATAGCCCTTTCAAAAGTTTTCTTGGCCTGTTCCTCTGTCATTCTCTTATTCATTTCCCTGAAAAAAAGTCGTATGAATACTCTATCTGTCATTGAAGTAAATGTAGCGTGAGTAGCAAATGTCATCATTCCATTAATCGGTTCTGTAGTAGTGTGCAACTATTGAATTATTTTTTTCTGTGACGGGAAAAAAGTTTCAAATTTTATCTCTGTTGCCAGGTTATGATATTTCACTTTCCATAAATAACTTTTGTTGTGCCATACTTCCGAAAAATAAGCCAATGAACCGTCTCCGAAAAGAACTAAATTCGCAATTTTTGATAATCAAATCATAGTAAAGACTGACAGATACTTCAAAAGAATGTTGAGGATGCCTGCAACGCAGGTGTCATTACTGTTGAAAATATCAAATTTCACGTCGATGATTTTCTGATTTTAATATGTAATATCTTCTCAATATTCATTCGTCCTATTTTCTGTCACAGAAAAAATAGTGTATTATACACAGAAAAATATATGAAATAGGGACAAATCAGATGCTTTTCTCCAGAATGTCAAAATGGTCAATTTGTGTGGTAGTTGATGTTTTATTTTTTTAATAGCGACAGAAGTTGATTGAAAAATGTTTGAGCTACATGTTGTTTCTCAATTGATCTTGAATTCACCATGTTTTATCTATATCAACTGAGAAGGAAGCAACTATTGAATTTTGCATCATCATCAACTCAAATATAAAACGTCCATTTGCATTAATTATGTCTATAACGATTGGCTAGTAATGTGATTTAGGTATATCAGCATAATACTCACATGATAGATTCCACAGATTTCGGCTTGATGAATATAGCGATAGGGTACAATTGCGCAACTTGTAATCGTTTTATCGCGTTGCCACTAACGTCTAATATACAATGTTTACCCTGAAACAAAAAACGAAGATTCAGCAACAATCGAATTGAAGGATCCTTCGAAAAATTTGACTAGAACTGTACCATATTGAACAAGATTTATTTTACTTTAAATGGCAATAAATATAGGCCCATTCTTACATAAAAGTAGTTTCGTTAAAGCTTATTTGTCTAAGTCCAGCTTGAAAGTCAAACTGATTTACGAGTGTTTCAGGATTAAAAATCGAAATTATAATATACAGGTTGTCATTGAAATACACATGATTCAAATTGCAACTCTTGAGAATGCTCAAAGTATACTAGTGTAGTAATTCTGATAGATAGATAGATAGAGTTTATTTAACTATGTTACATACAAGTATGTTTATAGCAGGTCAGCAGGGCAAAGGAAAAGTAGCACAGTAAAGTATCAATACTAACATATTAAAATACAATATAGTGGTAATTTTGCAAATGTGATAAAAATAATTAGTATCTGTAATATATATCAAAGAATTACATGACAAACGTATATGATATGATAAAAAATGACAAGTATCAATAAAATAATTTGAAAAAATCACATAAATAAATAGATAAATAATAAGATCAATTAAAAAGTTATAAAAACAATAGCAAACATAAAAGCTATGTTGCCCTATGTAAGTCTAAGCTCTAAAAGATATACAATTTTCTGCGCAAAGCGCAAAATCAAACGGTTAACAATCATATCAATAGGCGAGTGGACTATTTTTTCTTAATTTCATAAATAGCACACGACTTGTGGGCGTGGTCTTGTCAGTTCTCAGCATTCAGCACAATGTTGTCAAGTCTCCAACATTCACATGATATGTTGTTACAGAGAATAAGAAATATTTGGATATGCTGGTTGCTCGAAAAAGTCAAGAAGAACTATAACATCAAGGGTTCCTCATAATTTGATTATAAATGGTGACTTGCTTGACAACCTTGCTTCATGAGTGGAAATAGAAGATTATCTGACCAATAACAAAACAGCATGAAAACTGACGTCAACATTTATTCGACTTATCGTTAATGGCGGCCATGGAGGTTCATTTGAAATGAGCTCTGAAATTCAACAATTTCGAACAATGCAAAGACATAAAGAAGCGTGAGAAGTTTTGCAAGAATTAATTTAGGTTCCTAGTGGAGAAACTGAATGCCAATAATTCATTATCAGTCCACTCGCCCATTGTCCTGAAGGGTCGCAATTGAAAACATTCTTCTATTTTTTTATCGATACTGGTACTGGTGGGGGACGTTTCCACGTCAGCAACTAGTCCCCAATGGGACCTTTTTGCAAACCCCAAGTGTTTTCAATGACTGATGTGGTTCGCTCAAGAGAGCTGGCTAACATCCTTTTCAGGCACCGCCCATCAGCGCTCTTTTCAGAGTTTTTCAGCTGTGTTTTGTAGGCTAGTAATGTACTCACTACCATATGCGCAGTGGCAGGCCTGCTAACTATCATCGTTAACCCCCGAGACCGAGGTCTACTTAAGCAGCTGGCCCGCTCTCACGCTCAGCTGGTAGTTTTTCCACACCCACCTACATACACCGTCCTACTTCTTCTCTGATGCTCACAACCACATCATCATATCTTTCTGCGTGTTCTGTGTAGGCTTTGTTACTAACTCCATGCGCCACTTTAGGAGCAGCACTGTTAATTGGAACGCAACAGCGAATCGTGCAGGACTATCCCCAGCCGATGCTCCGAAACTTTACAATATTCAGTTCGTAAATAAAATATTGAAAAAAGTTCCTTGCCCGTGCTGGAAATCGAACCCACGACCTTGCGGTCGTGAGACGGACGCTCTTCCACTGCGCCAATCCCGGCTCCTTTTTATCGATAATCCAGATGGATTTTCTCGTTCATCAAAAGATTCTGGAAAAAACTAATTTTGGGAATATTCATTAGATTGATGAGTTCAATGAGTTGAAGAATTGATTGGTCCTCCTTTCAGAATAGGTAAGCTATGGTGCATATTATAGTAATTCTTTATCCTGTCTAAAATTACTTTCTATGTAGCTGTTTCACCTTGTATGAGGTGAATCACGAAAACAAAACTATTGTTTTGTCTTTAATAATTATAATACAATCTTATGGGCGATATTATATCATCTTTGTAAATACCTGAATAAATGGATTGAGGATAAATGAATTGACAAAGAACTATTTTCTTGTACCATAACTATTAGTCTTGCTCTCTGAACCAAAACTTCATAACTTTGATCCTAGTACCGAGACAATATTGAAAAGAAGTATTTTTAGGGTCATGAAAATTCATTCTAGTTGGAAATACCATATCCAATTGAATATGTAAAGTTCAAAACTTCAGAAATATTATATATGGAAAACATGTTCACCCTGGACTGGCATTGTAATAATAATAATATAGTTTCAATCAAAATGTTTCTTGTCGATTCAGGTACCTAACTAAAAGAGAGTCAGCAGAATCGAACTCCAGATACCCCAGCCTTCTAGAATTGTCACCCAGATGTGGAGAACCTAATAATTTGAAAATTATCAACATACCTTATCTGCTACTTCCCGCACCGACGCCACTGACGTACCATACAGGTTCTCATTGTATTGACCGGCTTCGATAAAGAGATGGTTCTGGATATCCTTTTCCATTTGTTCCCGAGACGAAACAAAATGGTAGTCTCTTCCATCTACTTCGTATTCTCGCTTTGGCCTGGTGGTATCTAAAAAAGACGTTGCGTGAATCAACTGATGTGGATTTCCATCCTTCTCAAAGTGGTCCTCTTTTTTTCAAATAAAACAAACACACAAGGTCGGTCGACCACAAAAATTATATTAACAAATCGTGTTTGAGACTGGTTTCGGCTCAACGGCCATCTTCAGACACAATTTTGTGTAAGTATTTACATACGTCGATAATCACTACATAAGTTAAATGAGATAATGCTACTTTGCCACGTTTTGGAGCATGCTTGAGAACCGTTCCTTTAACCATATGTACAACTTGTTTCTTTTTTCTTCTCCATGACTGGATTTTCTATGCCAAAAAATGATTTTTTGTATTGACTCGGCCGTTACTTGATGGAAATCCATGGCAAATGTGAAAACTTCACAAACGATAAGATTTCCACAAAATACTGGTACTGGTACCAGTATATCACCTGACGAAGCCACTGTGTTAGCGAAACATGTCGTGTGTTTGAGACTTTTGTGGAAATCTTATCGTTTGTGAAGTTTTTACATTCGCAAAGTGATTATTGAAAGCTCATGTTGCACCCCACCCGAACTGGAAATATTTGCCTGAATTGGTGTGAATGATTTTCATTTTCCAGGAACTCAAAATAATATGTACCTCTAAACTTAAAATAAATATCAGTAAAGAGTTTGAAACCATTGTTATGAGGAAAGCATACTCGTACATATCAATGTGCATTATATTGTGGTCTGCAAATTGAATTTGAAAATCATTCTGAACAATTTTGATTGCCTCATCTAAGGATAGTTCATTATCATTTCGAATAAAGAATATTTCGTGTCTGACTTTCTCCTGGCAATTAAGTGTTGATACCATATATCTACTACTCTGTATATGAAGCATAGCTGTCCAACTTCTGTCTCTATAGGATGCTATAGGTAACGAAATCGACCAATATCCGTTGATGCCGACGTAGGGAAAAAATGATACGAAACTTGTTGAACCAATATGGCTACGAAATCTCAGCTACAAATTTTAAATTTTTGAATTGGTTTAAGCGCGTATGTGATTGATTATGATTGAAATTCGAATATATGCGTTTTTAGTTGTACAATTCGTTAGTGTTTGTGTTTTCGTTTATTTTTCATGGAATGAGAACTTTTTTACGGTGGATCGAAATGCAGTATTTGCGGAGTAAAGAATAGACAGGAATCCTCTTTTCATAAGTTAGATTTTTCAAAATCTTGGGCTTGCAAATAAGTAGGTAGATCTGAAACTGAAAATCATAAAACTGAAGTTAGGATTTAGGAGAAAGCTTTCGATAATAATATCTTATCCTGATGCATAGGTAGCACGGTACTAATAAAGGCTATTTTACTTATTAATAAAAAAACATGATTACAATTGATAAAATCCAAAGCTTTGTAGGTAATGGTTGGTTCAACAAGAGTTTGCCAATGGAGCTTCAGCCTATCATTTTTCTCAAATAGGTATTATCAATGGAGTTATCAATCATCCAGCAACAAGCATAATATAATGGGAATGTCCTTAAAGTAAACCAAGTTTGAATCAGTAAATGACAAGTAGTGTAGTGTAGTCCTATCACGCTAAACAGATTTGAGTAGATCAATTTCACCACATTGAAAAATAATACGTATATATAAATCGTATGGGGACTCCCACCGAGGCATGGGTTCGATCCCAGTTAGGCCATGGATGTTTGTTAATGTATGCTTTCCTAACCCCGCACAAGTTTCGACTTATGGGGCGTTGGATCCAGTGCTGGGTCCAACGAGGAAATGCAATTGAAAAAAAAAAAGTTTACTCTGACCTATATTCAATATTCAATACCAAGATCTGAAGCAATGATGTTGGATTGAAGGGTGTGAGTTTCGAGATTCCACCGATCTGAATGAAATCATTATCGCAGTTAATTTCATTATCATCTGCAATGGCTCTTTCCTGTTCCTCAAAGTTACTGACATTATGCTTTGCTATATTTTAACCACATTGTGAAGGAATAAATCGAAGTTGACGGTATTTTATACTGTAGTATCAACAACAATTGATGATTTTTAATATTTTGTTATGATCAAATAATTATTTAGGAACCTAACCTAACTTAAAATCCGATCCTCACGTCAGCAGTTTCCGTCCTTATAGATTCAAAAAGTACCTCTCATTTTGGTCGCATTTTTGTTGAGATATCGTATAGGCGATGCGCCATATATAGAAATAGTAGATATATGGTTCATACCATCCTCAAAAAAAAATTATGTTTCCTATCGAAAACCCCTCTATAAACATCTGGGTTTCATAATGAACTCATGAGAGACGCGAAATAAGTGTAAATTCATATTGCATATACTCACGAGGTACACAGCTTCCGAACTTCTCGGGAAACTCCGATATTAAATCGTCGTTCACACGGTCTTTGAGTGGACCCAGAATGATGACTGGTCTAGTATAGCTGATGTGTAGTTGTTGGACCGGTTCATACGATAAAACGGTTTCCTCATTGCCTGTAAATAAACTCATCTCTCAAGGTATATGATAGAAGATACTTGCAGATTACAAGTAGGCAATTTCCTTCGAACTTCACAATACATTTTATAGAATCTTGCTAATAGCAAATTTTTATTTTATTTTCATCATTAATATTATTTTTTTATTGTTCGTAATACATAGTAATGCTCATTTCATTTCGCAGCCTTATAAACTTGTTTTTTCTTGTCGAACCGTGTTCAAGATTAGTTTTGAACCATTTTCAATCGTGACGTAGTAATTTATCTCATTCAAGAAAACATACTATTTTGAAATAGAAGCTGTCATAAGCCAAATACATAACACATAACCTGAAAACCGAAATCAATAATTAAATTTTGAAATTGATGATTATCTGTGAGAACTTGAGAAGTGCAAGAGAATGGATTGATAATCAGCAGATGAGGCAAGGTGTTTGTCTTTTGCTGAACCAGTCCAGAGAAATAGATGATAATCTGGGAATGATTATTCTTCCAGCATCCTAAAGTGGAACATTATGCACCATACCCTCATCACACTCCATTTTTTAAGTTATATAGTCAATTTCTCAAAAATAATATTTATAACCTCAAACGCTCAAACCATCAAATTTTGACATTTTTCCACTCCTCCACTGGTTTTCCTGGTTCGAACACGGTTCGAATAGTTCATTTAGAAGTTTTTGAACCGGAATGAACCATATTACTTTGTGACGTCATGAAAATGCTTGATTTCAAATCGTTTTGAACATGGTTCAACAAGAAAAAACAACTTAAATTAGGATTGTACTAATACTTATTATTGGTTCAAAATATTGAATGGTTGATTTATCTCTAGGAGTATTAGCAATGAGTCGTGAAGTATCGAATCTGTTTTAAAGGATCAGTATATGACTCAGACAATTAGTTTTGTTTTAGTCATCAAAATGTACTCTACTCTAAAAGCTAGTAAAACTGATTCAATATTCAAATCCTACTTGAGTTGTAACAAACATTCCGTTTAAGAGTAAGAAATGTTGTCCTAAGAAAAAAGCTGAAACAATGTTATAAAAACATAAATTTCCAAAAAATATCCACGCCATTTCATTACATCAAATACCTACAACTATAAGAATGGTCGTTCGGTAATGACATGAAAGTGAATATCATCTTGAAAATTTTTATTGTGGATAAAATTCTACGGACAACACGACAGGAAACAAAATATTGCAAATCGGCAAATGAGGTGTAAACCAGACAAAAACGTATGACTAAAACTATGTTATGCAGAACAAACTAGTTTCAGATTATTTGTAACTGTTAATGCACATTCAATCTAATAGTGTTATCTAGTTGTCTATAGCTACTTCCAAAATGAAATAGTATAAAATGAGGATGATCAATAATTATGATGAAATAGATGAAAATGTGCGTAATTTCCAAAAACACATCAAAATTAGAGAATCAACTATAAATACGTATTTTGTTGGAAACTCTAAGAGTTCTAATAGAGTAAATTCAAAATAAATTTGCTTCACTGCTACATTTCTTCAATTATTGATCACTGCGTTTCCAAAATTTTAGATAAAAATGCTGAAACTGGAAATACGGTTTCAACAAAAATTCATTCGTTTTTTCAAATTTGTTTAAATTTTATGTACCGGCTGTACCACTAAGAAAGGACGCCGACTGTATCTCGGAAACTATTTACCGCACAGGTTTCGGAAAAAAATATTAATGATAAAATTGGCCAAGAAAAATCTCTGGAACTTATTTTCAAGTTCCCAGGACAGCCGCTAGAGGGCATAATTGCATTGGCCGACTTAAAAAACGGGTTTTTATGAAAATTTTATATATTTAGACATATCAGAAACACTTCTTCCATGTTCTCGTTTTGATTTCCAATCATTTCGAACAAAATAAATTGCGCTAGCTCTTTAAATAAAAGAGGGAGGGAAGGATGAATAGTACTCTGGAAAAACTCCTATTACTACAGTTTGGTGTAACGGAATTAAGCGATCTTGGTCTCATTATGAAGGGTTTTTTCAGATCTTCCCTAATACTCACGAATCAAGTCGATTTGAATCCCGTGGTGGCCGCTAGATGGCATCGTTTGTAAGATCAGCCGATTTGCCATTTTTTTTCGAGAATTTCAAATGAAACCATATATTTTTTATGCTATGATATGAAAGTAAAGTAAACGAGAAGAAAAATGGTGAGAACCGCTAGTTGATACCTCTTGAAGAACTGGAGAAATACTCGGAATAATTTAAAATTTAAACTGTTAGCATGTCAAATGCCTCCTCATTCGCTATCGGCATTTTGACAAATAAGCAATCCACAGTGAAAACTTCCAATGGAACTTCAATTATATTTTGACGTTTCTTTCATTCAAAGCCAACTCGCCTTTTCTCATTCCTGAACCTGTACTCACTGCTTACATTTTAATTAGCTATGTCATTACTAAGAGTCTCCTTCACTATTGTGAGATATAACAGCACTTTGTGAAA